CATGATCAACAACCTACAAGCATTCATCTTTGAATGCGGAAGAACACACGGCATACTACAAAGCGACAACGAAGACACACTCAATGCACTACTACAAGCAACAGCATCTAAAGTCGGCTCATCCTACAGCAGCAACAGTCAAGGAAGCGTTGAGCGACTACATAGAACACTTCTCGGACAAATCCGCGTCGTCAAAGCTCAGGTTGAAAGCAACTACAGCATGACGATGTCCACAAAGCACTGTCTACTACCCTGGATAGTACGACACGCAGCATGGACGGTAAATCGCCACGTCATTCACTCAGACGGCTACACAAGCTTCGAACGCCGCTGGGGAAGAAACTACGAGCGAGCAATCTGCGAATTTGGCGAGACACTACTCTACCTTCCACCACAACACAAGAAACTCCCAAAAGCAGACCTACGGATACAGAAATGCATCTGGCTCGGAAAAGTTTCCGAAACCAGAGAAAACTACGTCGCAACGGAATCAGGCGTACAAAAGGTACGAACAGTGCGGAGACTACAACCGGACTTCAAATACGACCTCGCACTATTGAACAAAGTTTCCGGCACACCGTGGGCACCACGACGGAACACCTACAACCCATCGTTCGCAACACTGTTGGATGCGCAACTACCACCGTCAGAGAAAAGAAGGTCCACGCAAGATTTCGGACAACAAACGAACGCTACGGACGACATCGTTGCGGAACCCGCAACAAAACAACAACGCACCACACCACCTCCTCGACTTCCGTCAACATCGACGTCAAGTTCACGACCACTACCGGATAGTCCGATGGCTACTTCACCAACCGGACGACAGCATCCACCACTCCCAGCACCACCTCGACAAACACTACGACGTTTAACTCCGGAAGAAGTAATGCAACCCACTAAAGCACAGAAGACCTCAAAGGACACTACAATCAGATCAACGGAGCAAGCAACCAAAGAACCACCACCACTACGACAGAAAATTAACGCAGTGACACTTCCCAACGGCAAATTCATCACACCCTACACAAACGACGACACCTCAGAAGACCAACCCATAATCTTCGACAACGAAGGTTACGACGAAACACAACTACTGGAAGGAATGAAACACGAGTCAAATCAAATGAAGCTACATGACGTCTACGACGAAGTAGATGCGTCTACCGTCGACGACAACGTCATAAGAGAAGCGATACCTACTAGATGGGTACACAGGAAGAAAGGACCAGGAGTGCGAAGTCGAATCGTCGCAAAAGGCTACACAGAGAAGATCGAGGACGAAGACTCCGTCTACGCCTCTACACCAATGTTCACGACACTCCGGACACTTCTCGCACTACAAATGTCACGACCAAACTGGATCGCGCGACTAGGCGACGTCTCTACAGCATTTCTACACGCACCCATCGCAAAAGACCACGACGGTAAACAACGTGACGTCTACCCTTGGCCACCTAAAGAACTTTGTCCACAACAGGACAAAATCTGGCAACTAAAGAAAGCCATGTGTGGACTACGCAGTTCACCAAAAGCATGGCAGGATTACCTGGCTGAAGTGTTACAAAAGCTCAGCTTTGTAAGACTAAAGTCAGCACCTAACGTCTACACCAATGCAACTCGCGACTGCTACATCATGGTCTACGTGGATGATCTCTTGGTACTTGGTGACAAGACTACTGTCGACTCCACCTTCGAGGCCATCCAGAAGCAGGTCCTTCTCAAGCACATCGGCTACCTCGAACCTGGCAAACCACAACAATTTCTTGGAAGAAACATCGACCACTTTGGCAACTACTGCAACCTGGGACTAAAGGACTCCTACATCGACAACATGATCGAGGAGTCTGGAATGAACAACTGCAACCCAGTGAACACTCCAGGAATTGCACACTACAAACCGACAATAGAAGATGAAGCACTACTTGACCACGAACAACACAAAAGGTACAGAAGGATTGTTGGCAAACTGCAATGGTTAGCATACACACGACCAGACATCGCATACTCCACAAAAGAACTAGCACGAGACCTCACAGCACCTACAGAACTCTCACAAAAGAGAGTCAAACATCTACTACGCTACTTGAACGGCACCAAGCACTACAAATTCACCATAGAACCAACAACAACACTCAGAGCAAACACTAACAACATCCTGGATCTCGACGTTCATGTCGATGCCGACTAGGCAGGATGCCCTACTACCAGGAAGTCAACTTCAGGTTTCAACATCATCTTTTTAGGAACAACAGTTGCATTTGGCAGCGCAACACAAGCTACAATAGCACTCAGTTCAGCAGAGTCTGAACTCTACGCCATTTGCACAGGAGTCAATGAGGGACTACACCTCAGAAACTTCCTACTTGAAACCAACATTTGCAGCAAGCTAAATCTACGCATCCACACAGACTCCACAGCAGGCAAGAGCATTGCTACACGACAAGGCACTAGCAAACGAGCAAAACACATCGACCTTAAATTTCTCTACACACAAGACCTCATCAAGCACGACATCATCAGAATCCTCAAAATCAACACACTACACAACAGCTCAGACTTGTTCACAAAATACATTAGCAAAGAAACACTACAGAGGCTCATACAGAGCATTGGCATACGTGTTTAGCACTACGAACAACAACTGTTTCACAACTGTTGCACATCAATCACAACAGTTTGTATATGGCCATATGTAACTACCTGCATTTAAGTAACAGTAACAGTAACAGTGACTACAAGTAATAGTAATTGTAGCCACCAGTAATTTGCACTTGCACTTTTGGCGGCTTTTGGCGGCTTGAGTCAACACTACATGTTGTTTTGTGTTTTACTACATGCCCGCATGTGCTTTTGTGAGCTAACATTGGCTCACTACTGTCTGCCCCGTTTCACTGCATCTCGATAGGCCAAACTACCAGCAATGGCTGGAACTACGCCCGTGGATGCGACTACGCCCGATGGAGGTTACTACATCAGCGCCAGAGACTACTCTGCCCGTCGAACAACAGGCTGGCAGTACTACACCGGACCGGCAGGGCACTACCGACTCCGGCAGCATGGCTACTTTGGCCACTCCACTACCTGAGGCCTACAACTCCCTCAACTACAACTTCAATCACCAACTACCCACACCGGCACCTTTCTACAGACCCGACGACATCTTGGCACACCTCACTACAACTGAGAACAACATCCCCGACACTCCAGCGATCGACCCGGAGCAGAACTACTTCAGGGTCTACGCGGCTTTGACGCTCGAGGAGTTCCAACTACTAAGTCAACAACAAACTACACCCATCCCCGAGCTCAACTACAACCTACCAGTTCACGACCTACCTTCAGACCTACGGATGCCACACTACGACTCACTACCTCTTCACCTACGTCTTTCAGAGGCAGTCAACTTCTACTACTACAACCTTACATCACTACACCTCACAACCCAGTACACCAACTCGATGGTCATCATCCAACTACACATTCCACCAGAAGTTCTACTACGATTTGTCAGCGCTGGACAACTCGTCAACTTCTGCCGCGACTACGTGAGCCACATGATTTCCATCAAAGATGAGCACCACCTACCTACACGCCAGCTACATCAACGACTACACCGAATCACCTACAACTTGGACCAGATCACCACTACATTCAACCTGTCCAACAACTTCATTTGGAACTATCACATGCCCCTGTACCTACCAGAACTACTCAACTACTTCGACCAACCACAACAACTTCAAGACCACCACTACAAGTCCATCAACACGATGCTACACAAAAGTGTCACCTACTACGGCATCACCCTCCTCACGGCTACAAATCTTTCCATGCAACACAAACTACTACTCCACAACTACCTCACTACCACCGGCCAAGCACTTGCACCACCGGAATGCGACTACAACCGCCTTCGTGGCGGTCCAGACTTCCTCAACACATTCACTACCAACCACTATGCAGGCTTGGACTACCGCGTCAGCCAAGTCCAGAACTACCGAGTCCAACACTGGACTAAGCACACCTGATCTCCAGGTGGAGCTGCAACTACGTGCTGTACTACGTCATCGTACTACGAGATGACTGAGAACCAACTAGGGTTCTTGTACAGCAATTTCACTTTTCTGATCATTTGAAGGTTAGTTGAACTACAGACAGCAGCGCTGTAGATACCTACCTTCGGTCATCTTTTTTTAAGAGACTACATGCCTGTTCGCTACAGTAGCATCGGCAAACAACATGTGCATTCGTTTTTGCCACTACTGTCAATACCACCTTTTGGGTCTATGGTTAAAGGACACTACAAGGTCTTTTAACCAAGGGGCCGTGTCAAATATCATGTTGCACTACTTGTCACTTGTGCATGCATGATGTACACTACCCGACTGCAGGCCTTGAGTCTACTAGGAAAAGAGTGCATGCTGGCTGACTACATTTGTGTTTGTGATAACTGAACAACACTTGCACTAGAAGTAAAGTATCAACGTATTTTAACGGCAGCGAGAGAGAGACAGAGAGAGAGAGAGAGACCACGGTAGCCTTGCTGAAAGTATGGAACGAAAAGTGGCGTCACACATGTCTGAAAGGAACAATATAGTCTCAAGTTCTTGATATCGGTCCGACTTGCCAACGTCACATGCTGAAAACTTCGACAAGGGTTCAAAAGCGACCTGGTTCTGCCACACCCGAAAACAACGTGCTGAATCGCATGTCAAAAGCAACTGGAGTTGACGTCATCCACTCGCATAAATCCGGCCACGCTTTGCACTTGGGAGTAAGCTACAAATTGATGTGAAGTACCCTAGGTTCACTGACATGCAGCCCAGACGCCCTGACCATTTGGCCATGGGTCAAAATCCCGTACCCCAGTGAACATCCCAATCCCCTCTAAAATAGACTAAAATGGGTGGTGCACCTACCCCAGAGTGGTACCATTGGTTTTGACCCACAGCCATTTAGTCAAAGCGCTAGACTCTGCCTGCTTGCAGCTTTGGCGCGTATTTCTGCCTCCGGACAGGATCTGCTAGGGTTGCATAAGCATCCGCCACCTGCCAGGCTGCACGGGACCATTGCGACCAATGTGCCCGTGCAGCTGAGAAAGGACACGTTTGGGGCCAAGCCGCAGAAAAAATCAAACTATGAAACAATAGACAAAGACAGACTGACTGACACACTGACAAACAAACAAGCAAGGAAACAAAACAATATACACTCCCTCCCTCTCTCTCTCGCTCTGTCTCGTGCAGCACATAAGCGCAGCGAATGCCCATCTCACGCATAAGGGAAAAAAGGCAAGGTGACGGACTGCGGAGAAACAGGAGGCCCTTTTACGAAAGCGGGGCGATAGAAGGTGGAGCAAAATGTGCGAGGGAAAAGTACTGCACGAAGCCTTGAAGGTAGTAGAGCGTTTGCTTTGCGCAGGGTGCCGGGGGGTCTACAAAGTTCTGCGGATTGATGTGTTGCACTCTTCCTCGCATTGCTCTCCTGGTCCTGCATCTTTCCCCGAAGGCTACTTCATGCGGATAGGCATCCTTCCCTATCATGGCGACCAAGACCATTCAACGCATGCCAAGTTTGATTGAGTTACCTGGTTCTTGGCAGTTCCTGTGAGCGAGCGCCAATTCGGAGAAGAAGATGCTCCTCGCCAGTTCGGTTCATTTCACCTAGACTTGACTTCGGTTGCTGCGTCATGCTGCCTCCAACGCCCCAAGGAAAGAAGCAATGTCGGATGGGAAGGAACTCAGCAAGACCTTGTGGGTTTCTCTTAAACTAGGACAGCCCCAAAAATGGTTTTTGCTTTTAGTTGTTTCCTTTAGGTTCCTGTTAAAACCAACCCAAAAGGGGGTTCCCCCTAAAAACCAGCCACTCCTATGTCGACTGCCCCAAAGCGACTCTCACCTGGAGGCCTTGCGTATCTCCGCGCCTCTTGAAAGCGGTCTCGCATATCCTCGTCCCCCGGGTGCTTGTCAGGATGGCAGTCTCGGGCATGCCTGTAGTAAGCCTGGCTCAAAGGGAAGCCCAGGGACCAGTGAGATCTGTGCTGTTCACTTCCTCGGAACTGACCACTGCTCACCCTTCGATCAAAACGGACGGTGTCGCAAAGGTTATTTGGGGCCTTGGACCATGGACATTGCTTGTGCATACTCTGCCACCTTGCATGGGTATCATCAGCCTCCCCTTCTGCTCCGCTAATATGAGCCTGCCGTTGGTGGGGTCGTGTTTGCAAATGATGGTTTGGTATTGGGTGTTTGCTTGCGGGAACCAATGTCATGTTTCCGGAAGTCTATCCAAGCAGTTCACAAGTATCGCTGTCTGGGCAAGTGCCATTGGTGCACAACTGTTGCGAACCCACACTGTCCCATCCCAGCCTTTTTGATGTCGGCAACACTGGCTTCTTTGCCAATGCCCAAGACATCATACAGCTTCGTGTCAGTCTCTGGAGGACTGTCAATTGCTGTCCCGCCTGAGGCAGCGGTCATCCGGAACTGTTGGCAGTAGACTGATGCGTTTCTGTGGACAAAGTTCAGTGCTCAATGCGGGGCTCTGCCTGCAAAACATACCATGGGTGGAAGGAAGACTGGCACGCCTTGAAGTGCACTGCGGAGTCCAAATTACACATTGCCTGAGGGGAGCTTTAACAAAAAAACAAAAACACGCTATTCAATGGCACTGCAAATGAAGGCTTGGAGGACTCCTAAGTAACTCCTAAGAACAAGTGTTATCTCTCAACGACACATCACATCTTCATATTTGCCCATGTCTATAAATTACATGGTCCCATGCAACATTTGTGTGTGTGTGTGGTGTCTTGGCGTCTCTCTCGCTGTCCATCGCCGCCTGCCTTCACTGCGCAGGCTCCTCGTGCGTGGCGCCGGTCTCCACCTACAGGCCCGGGCAAGCAGTCGGTGGCTGAATGTACGCCAGTCAAGTTGGTGCGTGCCAGGTCGCATTGCTACTGTGGATTGGATGGTTGCGAAATCCATTCCGCGCCACTTTGAAACCACGGGAAACCATTGTTTGTTGGTATTCACAAGGGAATCATCATTCCAGAGTTTCTTAGGTGGTGCAGGACTTCGTCCACCCACAGTATAGCCAAACGGGGCTGGTGGGTGATACATGGACTTGAGCCGTGGCTCAAGTTTTAGTGCTGATCAATGGACTACTGTATGATTTGGTGCCAATCAACTCAACGAGTGACTGCGCTGGTCAGCTGATGCTTTGCTGATCCACGGTCTGGACTGTTGGACTTTCACGTTTGATCCCGGGAGGTTGGGTTGAAGGCTGCACCCAGGGCTAGGCTAGCCTGAGTTGGGTTCATTGGCCAGCTGGCTTGTTGGCTTGTGTTGCATCACTGCAGACCATCTTGATGTGAGATAACCACAGGCAATGCAGCAAGACTCACCAGCATCCCCAAGCATACCCAAGCATACCCAAGCATACCCAAGCATACCCAAGCATACCCAAGCATACCCAAGCAGCGGAGAGCTTGTGATTGCATGAGTCCAGTCAAAACATTCAAAACGGAGACGTGTGACTGGCGGAGAGCTTGATGCCAAAGATGGCTCACCTTTGGAGGAACCTTTGACAGGCGGACCGAGCCATCTGCACCCAGGCCTCATCCCTGTGAAGCCTGCGCGAATTCAAACCAATCAGCCAGTGAACCATCCCCACCCCCTTGAAAATGGAATTGGAAACTCATTTCTGGTTCCATTTTCCCTTTTATTGGGAAGACTAGATAAATGATAAATGGAATTGGGGCCCCCCCCACCCCCCTCCCCCTACAGCAGGGGGGATAGTGAACCGCTGTGAGAGGCTGGAAGGCAAGGGTACTTTTCAAGTAAGGGCGCCACCCTAAGAAGTGCAACCAGACTCAGCTTGTTTCAGTATGCTGCAAAAGAGTCCAGTGGTTGAAGGCCCTTTGCCTCCTACATCAGGGAGTATGTTTACAGCTCTCTGCCGGATTGGCCATCCAGGCGTTGAGCGGCTGCTTCAATGAAACTGATGCTGCCAAAGGGAGCTTTCCGAACTCTCTCCAAAAAAGAGTCGTGCTCTCGGCCTCTTCGGACCTTTTCAGCCACGTGACGCATGCCACTCTTTCAGCCAATCGACTCCAACGTGATGAATGGCGGTTGACATATTCAATCCCAACCTGAGCTGGAATGGGAGATGGGTCTGGAAAGCAAACTGCGTTGGCACTGGGTTTGTGGAGCACGGGCCGCATCATCCACTCAACAATAGACAAACATAATAAGCATGACTCGTTGTGTAGAATAGATGCACATACCTCGTACACTCTGTCATCAGCGCCTCCTTCAATTTGATGGCAATCGTTTGAGCAGGGATTGCCATCTCAACATGTGAATCTGAAACCACTACATTGCAACATGAGTCTGTACGCTTGGCCTAAATCAACTTCTCAAAAAAGACCTTTACTCCCGTGCTGCTATTCGTGTTGACCGTGATAACCCATCAGGACCCAGCCTGAGCCTGACAGTGCCCACACAGTTGCCAGCAGCACCCACAGCTGACCTTGCGGAGAGGCCGCTTACAAAGCAACACATGCACCGTCCTGCGTGAACACTATCACCCTCCAGATGCTCCCATGTGTTCATGCTATGTGGTTCCAAGCCTTCGATTTCGAGCCTCAGTGATCATGAATGCAACCCTTTCTGCGGGCTGTGGAAGAGGAAGCTCAAATATCAGACCCTTTAAAGACCCTTGACATGTTTGAGTACAAGAATATGCTTTGGCGCCAGGCCTCTACCCAAGCAGCTCGAGCTTATTCGCCCCATGGCCGAGGGTGAGCGCAACATGTCACGGGAACTGCATCGCGGCACTGTTGGGTTGGGTTGAAGCTCCATGTGGCTTTCTGGAGGCAACTCTGCATGTCAACTGTGCAGCTTCAGAGACAGTGGCCAGTGTTGAAGCAAACTGTTTGCCGCTTTCTAGAAGAGGACAAGCGAGCAAAGCCGAAGTTTGAAGAAGCGCCGCCACATTACATGCACACTTCATGCATAATCCAAAATGCTCCGACTGATTGATAGGGCCAGCATGATCAGAAGGGTTGATGCTGCCAAGAAGAAGTCAGGCAGTCATTGCCGACAAGAACTTCTCACTGTCTTCAATGCAAGTGGCCTGGCTGGACATGCGCGCTCCCCATTTTGGCCAATGTGGCCTCAACCAACCTCGGATTTCCAGAGGCCATCAGCGATTGGAATCCGCGGTCAGTGAGGCGCTCGTGGCAAAGCTGTGCTCCACGACCAATTCGCTGACTGTGAAGACCATGCTCCCTCAGGGCTGGGACTTCCCGTAGCTGAACTGTGCCCAGCTACGTTTCTCCCACTGGTTCCGGCCCGCGAAACTTGAAAGTGCATGAAGACTCCCAGAAGTCATCTCCAAATCAAATGAACGCGTTTTGCAATATGTGCAAGATAAACTCAAAACATACGAGCGAGCAAACAATGAAGTGAGCGAGCAAGCAAAGCAGGCAAGCAAAGCAGGCAAGCAAAGCGAAGTGAAGCGAGGCAGCGAAAAGCAAAAGCAAAGCCAGTCACAACAAAGCAAACAATTGCAAAGCAACGCAAGGACAAGCAAAGCCAAACAGTGCAAGCCAAAGCAAGCAAACTAACACAAAGCAAAGGGAACCCACTGCCCAACTAGCCAACCAACCCAACCCACCCACCCACCCACCCACCCACCCACCCACCCAGCCAGCCAGCCAGCCAGCCAGCCAGCCAGCCAGCCAGGAAAGACTGGTAAGCAAACAAAGCAACTTGCTATAACACACGCACACACACACACACACAGGCGCACGAATAAGCAAGTCGCAGTGTATGGCATTGTGTACATTACGGTGCATTACATTCTAGTACTTGCTTGCTTGCTTGCTTCCTTCCTCCCTGGCTGGCTGGCTTGCTTGCTTGCTTGCTTAATTATCTAGCTGTTTTTTCTGGTACCTTTTTGCTTCAACGTGAAAAAACAACACACACACACACACACAGAAACACACCACACGAGCACAAAGCACACCAACACGACAACATATAGCACACAAACACACAAACACGCAAAACACAAACACACAAACAAACAGAGAGAGAGAGAGAGAGCGAGAGAGACAAAGAGACAACAAAACACACACACACACACACACACACAAACTCGCTTGCAACACACACACACACATACAAACACACACACACACACAAACAAACAAACAAACAAACAAACAAACAAAAAACAACCAAACTAACAAAACAAACAAACAAACAAACAAAACAGCAAAACAAAACAAAACAAACAAACAAACAAACAATCAAGCAAGCAAGCAAACAATCAAGCAAACAAACAAACAAGCACCTACATGCAACAAATACACAAACAACGCAAACAACACAAACAAAACAAACAACGCAAACAACGCAAACAACCCACACACACACAGAGTCACACACGCAAGCAAACAACACACACACACACACATGTTGCCCTTGCTCGACCAGGATGGTGCGCAGCAGTCAAATATGTCTTTTCTGCCCAAGTGCAAAAGCAGGCCGGGCCTGGGGCACAGTGTTGCCTAGGGTGGAATGGGTCGCATCAGGAGCAGGTCCGTGCGGCAGATCCCATCCCATCTGCGGCATTTTCAGCACCTGCCATTGCTGCCGCGTCTGCGAGGTGTGCAACGTCTGCGATGTCTGTGGCATCTGCAGCGCCTGCGATGTCTGCGCCTGGGACAGTTGCAGCATCTGGTTCTGCGGCATCTGAGACAGTTGCAGCATCTGGTTCTGCGGCGTCTGGGACAGTTGCAGCATCTGCTGCGGGTTCTGATTCTGGGGCGTTTGGCCAGCTGGACAGCAGTGTAGAGCTGGTTGCAGCGAACCGGCCGGAATTTGCGCGCAATCTGAGCTCTGAGCTGTCCAGCCGGCAGGTTGCATCGGCATTTGAATTGGCAGCTCCGTCTCAGCTGATTGGTATGCAGGAGTCTGCACAAAAGTCAGAGGCGCTGTTGGAACTGCCAAAGCCCAGCTATGCACCTTAGGTCAAACCAAGACTTAACCGCGAGATGTCTGCTTCTCTTCGCCCATGTGGCTCAAGCCGCAATAAAACAGCACCAGGCTCCAAACCATACACCATTCGGGTTTTCACCTAACAGCCTGGGTGCGGCTCCAAACCAACATACACTCGGGAAACACCTGAGAACAGCCGGGGTGCTGGGGTCACATCCATCGGCAAGGGCCGTGATGGCATGTCCCAAACGGAGATCTTCTCTGGGAGCAGCAGGCACGCCACCTGCGAGATGCAGCGCCGCCACTTCCTCGGACAAATTGATTGCGACACCGCCACTGCGCTCCGAAACCAAGGCCAAACCTGCGGAGTGTGGGGCCTTCTTTTGCAAAGCCCTTGTAGTGGCTGAATCGGATATGCTTGGAGGCCGATTTTGTGTTTAGCCACGTGGCTACCCCAAAATGGTACCATTTGTGTTGACCCGCGGCCACATCGAAACACTTGATGTTTGCTCTTTGAAGGATCTGCTGTTGGCTCCTTGCCTCAGCTACATTTTGCACGTGCCAGGCTCCCGAAACTCGTTGTTTGCACCGGTACAAGAACCAATTCCTGCCTCCCCTTTGTGCCTCACGCAACATGTCTACCTCACAGAAAGTTCACTCGTCGCATGGCCAAGCGGCTGGATCTGCTCATAGCGCATCTCTTTCTCTGAACTCCAGTTCCAGTCACTGTCCCTCCACATCTTCTCCTGCAATGCCGGCTTTCTGAAGGTAACACCAAAGCAACTTCATTTCTGAGATGCGAGCTCGCAAGTGAGACAATTGACAAAGTGATACAGAAAACCAGACACAAACATTCATGACTGCTTAATCTAGACAGGATCTGCAACCAGTCACTGACTGCTAAGCAGCTGTGCGACTGATACACGCCGCTCACGCAAAAGAAGCAGCATGGCAGACAATGCTTTTCCACAGAGTGATTCGAAAGTAGTTCCTTGCATCTGCTGAAGGTTCTGAAACGAAACATCCAGCAACTGCTTGAGTTGAAAAACTGAAAAGTCAGTACACGAAACATCCAACAACTTGCTTTAACAGCCAAAAACAAAAAAACTGAAAAATCAGTACAACTCAGTACAAAACCCGCCCGCCCAAATATGCTTCATGGCCTCTTGGACGCAAGCAACTGGAAAAAGCACCTCCAAAGACATCGCTGCCGCGGACTGCAGCACCAGCTTGGTGGCGGCCCGCAAGGCCGCCAGCAGCGCAGCGCTCTCAAAGTCGGCCTGCTTCCGCGAAACGACCCGCAGGTTGTGCATCGGAAAGGCATCCACTCACGTGGGTTGTGCATCGTAGCCCAGACATCCAACAAATCCAACACCTTGTGGCTGGCCAAATAGCAATGGGGAATTTCTTGCGAAAGGCGCGAGAAATAATACCAGGCGTGGAAATCACTGCATCGGTCTGCTTCCACGGCAGACCTACCACGACGGTGTGTGGCTTGCTTTTAACATGTCTACTTGTATAAATGTTGAATCCACATTCACTCCCCTCTACTGAATTCAACATTGCCAACAGAGGTTGGGCTGCTCAGTTCGCGGGCAAACTGAGGCGGAAATGATTCAGCAAAGTGTCCACCAAACAGCCCAGTCAGCCCGGCAAAAATTGGCTCGCGTTTGCTGCCTGCTTTCTGCAAAGGCTTTTATCTTAATATGATATTAATATGTGTGGCGCCTCTTGGCGACAAAGCATCTGCATGTCGCCACAGCCTTTGCAACCTCAGGCCTTTCTAACCTCAGACTTCCCTTCGCAGTTGCCTTTTCTGAATTGAATCCAGTGCAGCTCGGTACCGAAAACCATCTTAGGCCTTGGGATGGCTCTTGCTGACTTCTGTTTCACCCAGGTCGCACGTGTACCGGCCGCCTCGACCTCCAGCCAGCTCTCCAACATCGCCGCCCCGTTCGCCCAGTAGAGGCCGCTGCGGCCCCCGCAGAACAGCAGCTGCTGCGGGGTCACCATGGTGCCTCAGTCGAATGATTTTCTGTGCCGCTTCTGACATAAGCTGCACGCCTGCACGCACGTCGGCCAGTGAAAGCTTAAGCTGACTGCAGATCTACTTGCACGAAATGCCCATCACAGACTGCAAATCCCGCAAGTCATTAGCGATGCCTGAACAGTCACTTCGCCGTGACAAGCAACAAACATGTACACCGAGAGTCTGCTACGAAGGATTCGTCCACCGTTGGCTGTCAGCTCCACGTAAGTGAGGAAGGGAGAGGGCGGCTCGTCATCGACCAGAACCTCCGCGTTTCACATGTCGTGTACGTCAATGATACGCGCCAACATACATGCCTTCGTCCGGAGAACGGACAACACATGCTTGGTCGGGCTTTCTGCACCAAAATCACTTCCCCAGTTCCAACCTCCAAAAATGGGCATGACCGGCAAACCAGAAAACCTCATTTCTCCATCCGATCGTTGGACAAACGCAGCCCATTCACTTCAGCCACGTGTATTTTTCAGAGAGGGCTATCTTGGAAGATGCCCCTTCATACTTGGTCATCTGGCCATGCGGCTCTTGCATGTCAAAGCTGGCAAAAGTGTTGAAGTGCCCATGGCCAGCTAACTAGTGAGGCTACAGCTCAGTACATGCCTGATTCTTCTGGATCCCTGAATTAGCTTCATCCTTCATAATCAGTGCCGAAATATTCATTTCTCCGCAGCCCCTTGTTGCCAAGCAGTATTCCATAGGCTAAAGGGACAACTTCTGGCTTGTTACTTCCAGCAAGCAACCCATTGAACAACAGAGATACCTGTTGCTGCCGAGGCGCAGAGTTCTTGGCAAGCCGCGCCGGCTTGGACCAGCCGGCATTGACACGGCGGCCTCCCTCCATCTTGCCGAGGTTCCAGCCATATGCAAGTGTCAGCATGGTCCTTGCGGTCTGAAGACAAACGAGGCACAAAGCCAATGGTGATAATACACGTTCGCAAAAAGCGAAGGATACGAAGACGTCTCAACATGATGCAACAGCTGCACCGAGTGGCTTGACACATCACAGTTCTTCATGCAAGCCTCTACATCCGATCGACATGGCCAACCGTGTATCGACTGAGATGAAGCCAAGCTTCTGAAGGATCGGCCATGCATCCTCCAGCGTGTCGCTCACCGCCTCACTTCCACCTGTGCCAAAAGACTCCTTCATTACCCAAATAAATTAACATGGAGCCTCAGAAAATGGTCAAAAGGAGATTCCTCTGCACCATGATGATTGTTTTAGCTGCTTGGAAAGTCATGCTCAAGCTCTCAGCCACTGCAGCCACCAGCATTGTAACCACCATGGCACTACCATCAGGACACAGCCCGGCTGACGCACACTTCTCAAGTGTCCAGCTGTGTGTTGAAGCTGCGCAAATGTGAACGGCTCAGTGGTGCTTGGGACTAACATGTTTACACACACACAAAGGGTAGCCATCTCCCCGCTCCCTCGAATTGAACCATGCCATCTGTGCGCCCTAAGACTTCCCACTGCCCTCTCCATGTCTCCGCCTTCGCCCTGGAACCGCGCCAGCTCCCAAGCGGTCCTCTTCAGCTGCTCTCGGGCACTGGACAGCTGCTGCATCACCGGGTAGATGAGGCCGTTCCACTTGCACCAGCCTGAGATTGGGAGTGAAATCGACGTCTCCTTTGCGGGAGCCAGCGCTGTCTTGAGTCCCTGTCTTTCAAAGGGGTGGCGTTGCCATTCTTCTACTAGGAAAAGGGAAGGCCAGTGTTGCCAAAACTTGATTTCCTGCCATGACAGATTCCATCACCCTCTCGAACGAGGACTGACACTCTGGCAAGGCTCAGCGATGCCTGGACCCAATTTCTGGTCCGTGCGATCTTACGGGAAGAACAGGATGAGCCATTGAATTTCATTCTGCAGCCAACCTATCCGTCAGCAATATTCAAATCATTCATCGTGTCATTGAGCGTGATTCATATAACAGGGCCCAACAAAGCACCCTGGCTTCACTATCAAAGGCAAATGGCACAAAACATACTAACAAACTGATTGAAAAGTGACGCCCACCTCTTTCAGGGGAGTCACATTTTGTCGGGGTGCCGTCGAACATCGAGTCGACACCACCAACGTGTGGTGTGGGGGTCAACTCGCAATCTTTGCAGCTGGAAGACTGGCTTGCTTGTTGGGGTACTGCATCTCAAACTCTCCTGCGCACGTTGCGCAAAGTCGATACTCTCAGCTCCGGTGAAAAAGGGATCTAGTCAATATTGGTGGCCTGCTTGGCTTGCCCTGTCCGGAAAATGGAAACCTGGGCATGGCCGCCGGGTCCTAGTGCCTTTGCGAGCGCGAAGACGTCGCTCCACCTCTTGCCATCTGAAGCCTCTGAGAAGCTCAGGGCTGCGGCTTGCTCCTAGCGGCTGAGTGGCTGGCCCTCCCCAGACTCCAACACCACATCATTGAAAACAAAGGTTGCTGAGTTCCCACCATGGCAACTTAAGCTTGACACGATAGAGCCGGATGCTTGATCAAACTTGGTCCACCAATGCTGGCCATGAGCTGGGTCAATCCGAAACATCCATGCCTGTTCAATCCGATGGGTCCCAAACAAATTGTCTTGGGCAAAGATACTACACCTGCCGTAGCTTTACTTGGGTCGCGGCCACTAAGTTGCAGCTGTTGCCAGGGGTTCCGGAAGCAGACTCCAGACTCTCTCATTACAGAAGACATAAAAACGTGCAATTTCGGATTTCGGCAGCTCTGCCGTTCCTGAATCGCCTACTTGGGCGGTCGGCCTTGCTACTATCTAGATGGGTCAAATAGCAGGACTTACTAAGTCCCGCAACTGAAGTTATATTTTCGCTATCCTAGGTTATAAGTCCGGACATGTTCGGCATATTAGAAGGCTAACATGATAAGTGGCGCAGGCTATCCCATGTACTTACCATGTCACCTAAATACATAGCTTCAAGTTGGCGAACATACGGGCGAACATCTCTTTGTAAGGCAAGCGTCTTGGCAAACTTACAGAAGTGATTCAACCCACTTGAGTAAGTATGCCGGCTGACTTGGTAAGTACGCCGCGGCCTACATACACAAGTAAATTGCGGTCTACATAGTTGAATTAAAGCTGTTGTTCTGCAATTCATCATGGCAGCTGGCAGACCTTAAAAAAGCAAAGCGCGTTTCTCATACGGGTTTGCAGAAATCTGTCGTGCGGTTTCTGCGGGTATAGTTTGTGTGCCATGGGTGTGTTGTTGTTGTTCTTTTGCTGCTGCTGCTGCTGCTGCTGCTGCTGCTGCTGCTGCTGCTGCTGGTTGTTGTTGTTGTTGTTGTTGTTGTTGTTGTTGTTGTTGTTGTTGTTGTTGTTGTTGTTGTTGTTGTTGTTGTTGTTGTTGTTGTTGTTGTTGTTGTTGTTGTTGTTGTTGTTGTTGTTGTTGTTGTTGTTGTTGTTGTTGTTGTTGTTGTTGTTGTTGTTGTTGTTGTTGTTGTTGTTTGTTGTTGTTGTTGTTGTTGTTGTTGTTGTTGTTGTTGTTGTTGTTGTTGTTGTTGTTGTTGTTGTTGTTGTTCTTGTTCTTGTTCTTGTTCTTGGTGTTGTTGTTGTTGCTGTTGCTGTTGCTGTTGCTGTTGCTGTTGCTGTTGCTGCTGCTGCTGTTGTTGTTGTTGTCGTCGCTGTTGCTGTTGCTGTTGTTGTTGTTGATGATGATGATTTGATGATGAGGATGATGATGAGTTGATGATAATGATGATGATGATGATGATGATGATGATGATGATGATGATGATGATATTGATGATGATGATGATGATTGTCGTGCCCTTCAAAAAGGCACTGAGGAAAGGCCGCGCTGCGGGGCCACTGCCATAGCAGGCCTGGCCAGCGGGCAGAGGAGGGTGGCCGGCGGGGTTGCTTCAAGATAAAATTAGTTGCCCTGAAAACTTCAAATCAACCCTCACACAGCTTGATCACCGTAACGTCAGCTATCCATCAGGGTATATATCCTTTTCTCTTTGGAACACGTCTTGGGGAAACATTATGGAGACGGGAGAATTCACAAAAAGCTTGGTTAGCAGTTTGCAACGCAAGGGCCCGAGTTTTTGCAAAGCTTAAGTTGGCAAACACAAGTCTACCATTTCCATTGTTCCCCCGTCCCCCGGCTCAAATCTTTAATGGGGTCACTGCAGAAGAATTCTCATGAGTTAACATCACGGGGAAACCATTTGAAGCGAGGCTATATATAGCCTTATTGCAATGAGTTTTCTTTGGGACATCATTGTTTGCCCTGCGTGTTACAAATGCGAGAGGCTCATCAAGATTCTTGAAGGGCCGTTCAGCCCGAAATTCGGTTTTTGATGGATTATCTTTATTTTTGGGCCAAACATGAAAAGGGTTGGCAGGGAGGCTGTATAATATATGTATATATAGGGGAACATGAGGGGAACGTATACTGTGTGAGTCATTTATTGGGGAGTTGCTTTGGGGAACCCACTGTTTTCAAGGGACCCGAACATGAAGCTGCAGGGTTGCAATCAACACAATGCAGAGCAAGGGGCATGCAAGGCTGGGCATGAAGCTCGCCGTCATGCTGGGCATAGCTCGCATGGAAAAGCGTCACAGTTGCCAGCGCCATGGAGAGTGCTGCCACATTAGCCGGCGTGCGCAAGACCTACATGGCACTGCAGACGGACGCACTTGACTGAGAGAGCGACATGTATGCATGGCGAACAGATGCGAACAGCATTGGCTGCCAGCAATGACTTTTTCTTGATTCCCCGGTGTGCAACACACCATCAAGTGCAGCTGCACTATATAGAGGGGGAACCTTTGGCGGCGCGCGTTCAGGGAAAATCGTTGCTGAGTGGTGCATGAAGGCAGTTGCTTCGCAACGCAGTTCATTCTTCTAGCACTGTGGTGCAATGCGGGCTCCTCTCCATGTGCCTCTTGCTTGTGCACAGCATGCACGTGCGCGTAGCTTTTGGAACCAAGCTCATCTGCGGGCGTGCCAATAAGAGCAGCCACCATGATCACTAGTGACCTTCATGAAAAGATTTCGGGCCACATCAGAAAGGCGGAGGCAGGCCTGCTGGTACAAGGAATGGCAGCACTGATGGTTGACCTTGAGACGCTTTGCGCTATAGTTAGCCTGCTTTTCCATTGGTGCTCCAAACAATGTACTGGAGTGTTCAATGCGCGTAAATAGAGGCTGTGGTCTTCAGCATCTTTAGCCCAAGCAGGGTTGGCCTGTGAGTTGGCCCGTTTTTAGTTGACAAATCAAATTCAGCAGCGTTATTGTGTTCGAAGCAACTTGTTTATGGAGCTTTGGTTTGCGTGGACAGCTTTCAAAGTGGGCAACCCTTCCAGGAAAAACCACCTATGCTGGCGAACGAGAATCAGGCCGCAGTTTGTGCATGTACACACTGCGAATCGGGATGGATTTGGCTTATCAGCCAACGATGTTCACAGCTTATGCAGTGACATCAGCGAGTGCGGGTGGGAGTGGAAACAGGTGCGGGCAATTTGCGCTGAGCTATCCCCGGCAGAGATCCCCGCACTTAAAGCCTTCAATCGGCAGCTAGTGGGGGATGACACTGTAAGCGCGAACCTTCGCTTGGCACCTGTGGTTGAGGGAACGGTCAAGTATGCATCGCTGAGTTCATCGCACACCAATCAGGTGTTGCGACTCTTCGCGGCAAACTGTTTGCACGAGGGGGACCCCGACCTTTTAGTTCAAGGAAGGCTTTCGATTCACCAACTCCAAGCAAAGGACCCTGCTTTCGCGGATGCCGTAGAGCAAGGCTTGTGGTGGTGCGTGGTTAGCCAAGAAGTAATGTCAGAGTACCCACAACTTGCCAGCATGATGCAACAAGCCAACAACACAGGCGCGCAATTGCAGCGTAAAGAGCCCGAACTTCAACTATGCCGGCGCCTACTGGCCGTTTGGCAACAGGAATCCAAAAGCAAGCCAGGCAAGCAAATCCAATACCAGGATGTCAAGGTAAAAATTCTTCGAACAAAGCCAACATGCGCACCAGCAGTGCCTCACATGTGGGCATTCATGATGAAGTTTGGCGGCGGTGCACAGGGGCAAGAAATGCGCTCCACAGAGGAATTTGTGAAAGGGGCCGGTGCTTCGCAACGAAGCTTAGGCGCAGAGGTGTGGGACAGTTTGTCCTTGCCCGGCAAGGGGGGGGAGCTTCTTCTTCGTGCGCGGCATGCTGCGCTTCGCCTCGCGTACGTGGATGAGAAACCGCTCACGGCCAACGAGATCAAGCGCATGTTGAAGGCCAATGACGTGGTCACTGCGGAGAAGCTCATGCACGAAGTTAGGGATCTCGCTGCCGGCTTGACCCCTGAGCTTCATCACGAGGTCCTGCTGTTCGAGCACCAGCTCATTGTGCAGATGCTTGATCGTAAGGGGCGCCTCCCAAGCATGCAGCACGCCGCGCAGGCTTTGGTTGCCAAGATCCAGGAAAAGGGGGGGCCCACATTGACCGAGAAGTGGAACGGGTTCACTCTTGCAAAGCCAGCGGCAGCTGGCCCATCTGTGCCTGTCGCAGGAGACGCCATTGCGAAGCTTTGCTGTACGAAACAATTACTTTGTCAGACGTCGAGATTTATATAGGCTGCGCTCCTTGCTGCTCTTTATGATGCTGTCGCTGCTGTTGTTTTATGGTTGTTGTTTTTTGGCGGTTGGTGAAGATGACGACGCTGGTGACGGCGCTGCTACTTCTGCTGCTGCTGACGAGGATGATGATGATGATGATGATGATGATGATGATGATGTTGATGACGATGATGATGATGATGATGCTGATTACGGTGATGATGATGATGGTGATGATGGTGATGATGATGGTGGTGGTGATGATGATGATGATGATGATGATCATGGCAGCGATCATGATTCGGATGCTGTATGTTGTTGTCGTTGTTGTTGTTATTGCTGACGTTGTGGGTGCGTGTGGTTCCGGCTTTGCCTAAAATTGTTCTTACAGGGGCGGATACCAGGGTGTAGACCCCCAGCTGCGTAAAACCTTTTCAGGCGAGCACTCAGCCCAGCCATGAACTGTAGGGGGTCACTGAAATATGGCAATTTGGCGAGCATTGTGCCCATGCAGCATTTTTTATGGGCCAATTAGCTTTCGCTGCCCACCTGAGATCCATAACCAAAGAAAATCAGATGGTAAAAGGCGAGCCCTTGGCCCAGCCTGGCGAGCTTTCAGCCCAGCCCTGACAGCCTAGCGAGCTCTCAGCCCAGCCCTGACAGCCTGGCGAGCTCTCAGCCCAGCCTTGGAAGTATATGATCATTATAAAGCGCCACTGTTGCTGATGCTGCTGTTGCTGTTGGTGGTGGAGCTGTTTTGTGACCCCCTTGTAATCGTTTGGAATATCAATCAATTCAATATATCACG